GTGTAGTATGAGCAGCGGGCTTTTAAACACTGCCTGGCCCATTAGTTTCAGCCTCTTACTGGCTCTCACATCTTGCTTTAACCCATTTCTAATAATGTATGTAGCACCACGAGGTGGCTTACCAGGGGGGATCTTAACTTGTGTCCATCTTGGAGAGCTATGGCGACTGCCTGACTCGGCTTCTTTCTCCCAGCATTCTGTTCTGTCTACTCCACCTACCTAAACTCCAAAACTACAGAGAAACTCTGTCGGGGGGGGGGGGGGAAGGGAGGGGGGACAACTAAAAGTATAGCTGGCCATGTCATGTGACCCAGATATAGCACTCTTGGGCACAGGCAGGAGGACTCTAAGGTAACAAAGCACAGAGACACTGGTACATCTGTGTTGACAACTTCACTCTTTGCCCGGTCTCCGTATCCCACAGCAGCTGAGAGGATGAAGGAAACCTGGTAGAAACACTCAATGGGATTTGAGTCAGCCATAAACAATAACAAAATGATGCTGTTTTGCGTGGAATGAATGCAACTGGGCAACATCATATTAAACAAACTAACGAGGATGAATATCATGTGTCTTCCCTCACTTGGAAATCCTAGGCATTACATGGGCATATAAAATCATACATAGACGTGAAACTTGAAAGTAAAAGTGAAGCTACTGGAGAATATATTAGGATAATGGTAGGAGGTAAAGGAGGAAGGGGTGGGTACAGTCAGCATTCATGATGTGTTCTATGAAAATGTCCTTATAAAACCCACCATTCTCTACAATGAATATACATCAAATCAATATTTAAAAATTTTTAAAATTATGTTATTTTTCTAAATGCCTCTGCTTCTTTAGAGAAAATAATGCATCATTTTAGAATTCAAGTTATCAAAATTTGAAGAACCATAACATAGCCCCATTTAACTGAAACAAAAGACGTCAGACTTTGGGGTAGTTAGAATCACATTGAAGCCGATTCCGAGTCCATGTTTAGTGTCCTAACTAAACATGCCACATCTGTCATCTTCTGTTTATTTGGAGCCTATGGTTCGTCACAACCTACTAACCCAGTCCCACATCCTCCGAGGAGAAATTAATCAAATCATCGTGGTAGAAATGAGATTGGCATGTCAGACACTGTTGACATTCCAACCAATAACATGAAGCCAAGAAAGCATTTAGTGGTTAGGACATATGTTCAGTCTGACGCAGAATCTACTCAAACAATGCCCAAGCAGGCATAGACCTTGAATTTTCTATAAACAGTTGTAGGAGGAGGAGGGCCCGCTTGTTTGCCCCAGCCACCCAGAACCGAAATAATCACACAGAAACTGTATTATATAAATCACTACTTGGCCCATTAGCTGAAAAAGGGCTGGGGGGAGGGGGGTATGGGGATGGTGTGGGATGTCTTTTTGTCTGTGTGTTGCTTTTCTTGGTTAATGAATAAAGAAGCTGCCTTGGCCTGTTGATAGGGCAGAACTTAGGTAAGCAGGAAGACAGAACTGAATGCTGGGAGGAAGAGAGGCAGAGGGAGAGATGCCATGAATCCTCTGCTACCAGAGTAAGACATGCCGAATCTTTGCCAGTAAGCCACTGCCATGTGGCGATATACAGATTAATAGAAATGGGTTAAATTAAGATGTAAGAGTTAGTTAATAAGAAACTAGAGCTAATGAATGTCTGTAAGGGATTGTATTGATTAGATTAATTGAGGTAGAAAGACCTACTGTAATTATGTGTGTGTCACCATTCTATGCACTGGGATCCTAAGTTGAATTAAAAAAAAAAAATGAGTTGAACAAAAGCATCCTTAACTCTCTGCTTCCTGACCGTGGATGCATCAGGATGAACCTTAGGGTCCAGTCACTGTGATTCCCACTGTGACAGACTATAACCTCAAACTGTGCAATAAAGCAAACCTTCCTTCTTAAGGTGGCTTCTTGTCAGGTATTTTGTCAAGGTATCAAGACAAAAAAAAAACTAATACAAGGCTTAAAACCAATAATTTGTTCTCATAGGAAGAGACAAGGGCTAGGGGTGTAGCTAGGTGGCAGAACGCTTTCCTGGACTGCATGGAAGAGAGAGGCAGAGAAGAAGGAAGAGGAGCAGGAAGAGAGGCACAGAGAAGAAAACCAAGAATGGAGAAGAGAAGGAAGAGAAATAAGGAAGGAGAGGGGCAGAAGAGAGACACAGAAGAAGGAAGTAAAGACATAGAGAAGCACACGTGAGGGCCAGGACAAACCAGAGTGACACTGCCCCAAGTCACAGGCACCCGGGCTTTGTGAAGTGATTAAGGACTCTATCCCAGCACTCCAAATACAGTGTTCCTAAGGACATACTGATTTGGGGCAGACCAAGAAAGAACATATTACCTTGTCTGTGGCCATATCAGTCCAGGTTCAGCCTTTACGGCCACACCTGCTTTCACTGCATCTGTCTCCCAGGGTCTCTCTCTCTAGGAAAAGTATTAGTGTATATTAACTGTACAGATTAACGGGTTTTATTATGGCATTTTCATACATGTATATAACACACTCTGGTCATATTCATGCTTGCTGCTGCCTTCTTTAATCCCCCTCTGTCCATTTCTGTCCTCAAATGAACCCCTTCCGATTTTCCTTCTACTTAAGTCTAAATGTCACCTCTCTTATAATGATGCTTACTGATGGTTTTTAGGGTTCACTCAGATGACCAAAAATAATCTCGTCTCAAGACCTTCCCCTCCATTACACCTACACAGAACTTTTTTCCCAATAAGGTCACACTTACAAGTTATAGAGCTGGCTTTGGGGACCCGCTATGAGCCCGCTACAACTTCCAGTTTCAAAGGTGACAGCATTATCCGGTCTGCACAAAGTCAAGTATCAAAGTTTTCCTTTGGATGCTAAGAAAATAAAAGACAGTGACTTCTCCTTTCACCAAGTGTGTGGCAAGCAGTCTATCCTGTGCTGGTGCCCTGTTACAGGTTAGGAGCACAGTCCACCCATCCTCCGCTCATTTCAGGCCTCCGCTGCAGTTTAGGGGTGGCCTGCTCCAACCACACACTTCTCACCAACTACTAAAAAGTCAGAGGTTTGGGAGCCAGAGGGGGAGCTCAGTGCTTAAGAGTGCTTGCTGCTGTTACTGAAGACCAGGGCTCAGTTCCCAGAACCCACATGGTGACTCCCAACCATTCCTAATTCCAGGTCTAAAAATAATAGAAAAATAGAAAAAAAAATAGAAAATCAGGGCCAAAGGAAGAGACATGTGGAGTGATGTATGACCTAGGTGAATACCAGGCATCCATGTGGTGCACATACATACATGCAGACAAAACGCTCATTTGTTTATTATTATTTTATTATTCTTATTTATTTGTTAAAATAAAATACATTTGGAAAAATTTTGACTTAGAGATTTCTGCGACCCACCAGTTTTATAGCTACCCAAAACCTCACAGAATTCAGGAAAACTGTATGTAAGAAAGCAGTTTTAATACAACTAAGAGGAATAAATCCAGATCAAAGTGGGGAACATGTGGGGTGACGTCTAGGAGGGTTCCACACACAACAATCCATAGCCTCAGGATGGCTCAGCCTCCGGCCACATTGGCCTCTAAGTACCAGAGTGTATGGGATTGCATTACGTAAGCGGCTTGTGAGAGCCACTGGGCTCTCAGCTCCCAGGAGGTCCAGCTGGTATCACAGCCCACACTCTCTCACAGGTGGCCCTTCCTCCCCAGCACGCCTGGATTTCTCATCCTTAGACAATCTAAAGGCCAAACATGAGTCACCTCCTTGCTATAAACTCAGGTGTGGTCCAGCAGGCAGCGATGAATAACAAAGACACTCCTATCTCCTGCTCAGGAAATTCCGAGGGCTTAGAAGCTTCCTCCGGAGAACCAGGGACAGAGGCCAGCCAAGTTCACTCTACAGGAGTTGGGGTGATAAAGCCTGTATACCTGCCCCCACATCGCCTACCACACAGAGGAACCCACCTGTAATAGGAAGGTGAAGCCAACAAAGAGAGATTGTGATATGGGGAGTCACTGGGGACAAGAGCAAGCCCTGACAACACAAGATCCTTTGTAGCCCTGCCTTGCCCACTTACAACTTCCGTAAATACCAACAGTGGCCTCGGCCAATAAGAGGCGAATCCCCATCACTGCAAATGCAAAGAGGTTGGTAGCCAAGAGAGGCAAAAGAGAAATTAGTTACCAGGCAATAATCTAAGAAACATAACAAATGAGGAAGATAAAGCTATTATTCCAGAGGAAGCTAATAGCTGAGAAACTCACCTACGGTCCAGCTTTTTAAGCAATATACCAAAGCATGGGCTAACAAGAAACTGTTTCCAGGAAAGACAGCTAAGGAAGACTATACTGGCAGTGGATCTCAGCCTGTGTGTCGCGACCCCTTTGGGGGGTCTAACAACCCTTTCACTGAGGTAGCCTAAGACCATCGGAAAACACAGATATTTACATTATGATTCATAACAGTAGCAAAATTACAGTTATGAAGTAGCAACAAAAGTAATTTTATGCTTGGGGGTAACCACAGCATGAGGGACTGTATTAAAGGGTGGCAGCGTTAGAAAAGGTGAGAACTCCTGGGCTAAACAGATGGCTCGGTGGCTAAGAGAACTCTGCACGATCATAAGGACTGAACTTGGGAAGCCAGACATCCTATGTACAGCTGCAACCCCTGCTCTAAGATGGGGGAACACAGCAGGATCATGGAAGTTCGCTGGCTTCCACAAGCCCCACATTCAGGGAGAGACCCTGCAGCATAGGAATAGGTGGAGGGTGATACAGGAAGGAACCAACGCCTTCTATGGGCCTTGCTCATGGTCATACCTGCATATACACTCAACAGACACACAGACAGATACACACATACATACATACAAATGAATGGGTAAAACCCTTTTTAAAAGAAAGCTAGGTTTCCCTTCATCGTGAACTTGTCCCCCCACACTTGCTCATATGATTCCTCTTCATTCTGTTCAATTGAACTCCAGGAGCTCAGCCCAGTGCTTGGCTGTGGTCACTGCATCTGCTTCCATCAGTTACTGGATGTGGGTTCTGTGATGGCAATTAGGGCAGTCACTAATCTGATTAAAGGGGAAGGCCCTTCCAGACACTCTCTCCGCTATTGCTACGAGTCTTAGCTGGGGTCATCCTTGTGGATTCCTGAGAATTTCTCTAACACCAGGTTTTTCCCTAATCCCATAATGGCTCCCTCTATAAGACATCTCTTTCATTGCTCTCCCCTCTTTCCCTACCCCTTCTTGTTCCCTCTTGTTCCCATCCCCTAAGCCTTCCCTTCTTCCCCATCCCAGTTTACCCAGGAGATCTTAACTGCTTTCCTTCCTGGGGCCTTCCTGTGTGTCCCTCTCAGGGTCTTCCCTTTTACCTACCTTCTCTGGGGTTGTGGACTGTAGCCTGGTTATCCTTTGCTTTACATCTAATATTCACTTATGAGTGAATACATATCATGTTTGTCTTTTTGGGTCTGGATTACCTCACTTAGGACGTTTTTATTTTGTTTTGTTTTTCTAGTTCTGTCCATCTGCCTGAAAATTTCAAGATGTCATTGTTTTTTACCTCTAAGTAGTACTCCATTGTGTAAATGTGCCACCTTTTCTTTATCCATTTTTGGATGAGGGGCATCTAGGTTGTTTCCAGGTTCTGGCCATTACAAAGAATGCTGCTATGGCCCGAGCTAGTGGGAGCTCACAGACTACAGACTGGCAGCTGAGGAACCTGCATGGGTCCAAACTAGACCCTCTGAATGTGAGTGACAGTTATGTGACTTGATCTGTTGGGGCATGGGCCCTGGCAGTGGCACCAGGACATCCCAGGTGCATGAACTGACTTTTTGGAGCACATTCCCTATGGTAGGATACTTTGCTCAGCCTTGATAAAGGATGTGGGGAGGCTGGGCTTGGTCCTCCTCAAGTTGGCATGCCAGACTTTGTTGACTCCCCAAGGAAAGCCTTACCCCCTTTGAGGAGTGGATTAGAGATGGGAAGCGGGGAGATGGGGAAGAGGCAAGAAAAGGGGACGAAGGGGGAACTGGGGCTGGGATTCAAAATGAAAAGTAAATTTTTTTAATAAAAAAGGAAAGCTAAGAACAAGAAGTACAAGACAAGAAATAGGCTCTTTCTCTCTGCTTCAAAACAATTTCCATTATTTTCAAAGGAGGCATAAAACTATGGGCTGAGTCACCAAACTCCAACAGTGCATACTGATTTTTTAAACAAAACCAATTCTCTTTTTTTGTTTTTGTTTTTCTTTCTTTTTTTTTTTTGGCGGGGGGGATGGGTTCAAGACAGGGCTTCTCTGTAGCTTTGGAACCTGTCCTGGAACTAGCTCTCATAGACCAAGATGCTCTCAAACTCGAACTCACCAGATCCACCTGCCTCTGCCTCCTGAGTGCTGGGATTAAAGGTGTGTGCCACCACCACCCAGCAGCACTGTCCTATTCTAAATATTAATTATGTCCCCTGAAGCAAGTGGGAAGGTGTACTTCACTGAGTGGAAAGTGGAAGGCAATGGTGGCTGATCTCACAGGGACATTTCCACCTCTCGAACGCTGGAACCACTGTTTTCCACAGCAGTTGTGTGGCTGACCCTCAGAGCTGTTGGGATTCAAGTCCTAAGTTAACACTGGGGACCACAGTCTCCCTGACCTGCAGAGACTGGGTATCACCATCCACTAACTCCTGGAGAAGGCACAATTGCTCCAAGAGCCCGTTTCAGGGCATCATCAGAGTCCTCAGTCCAGATAGCTGATCTGAACAGAGGTGGCCTAGACCACAGGGGGCAGACCTCATGGCCCAAAGTTTGTCAACATGTAGAAATTCCTTTCCATAGATTCTCCCAATTCACACTACCCAGGTACACTCATTCGAATCCAAATAACCCTCATTTAATCCAAATTCTTCAGTACGTATTTCAAAATATTCGGGAGTTGGGGGAGTTAAGTAGCCACAACTGTAAATTAATCATTTTTATTATACTTCTTTTTTTGGTTACCAGGGGTTGGGAAAGGACACATGAGTTTGAAGGCAGTGATGTCACCATCTATGAGACCATAACAATGGACAGAGGTCATGGAACCTTCCCCCCACCCATAGGTTGTAGGGCACCAGCAGCGAGCCCTAAATGGGGGAGTGATCATGTGTCATTGTAAGTTCATTGATTGCTCAATGTTCCCCCCTCCCTGGTGTAGGACGGCGACAGATGGGGAGAATGCGTGAGAGCTGCAAGCTGGGGACGAGGAAGCCACTTTTTGCTCAGTTTTGCTGAATCTAGACACGTGGTTTTCGTCTTTGTTTTAAGTTATCTATTTGACTGGCTTATTTTTAAGGATGAGGTTGGTTGATGTTAGGGGACACTCTCCTTTAAGGGAGGGACTCCCTCCTTCCCTGTCGTCTATTCCCATTGTCGGGTCTCAAGCCTGCACCCACATTTCTCACTCTTTCCCACCTGCTTCCCTACACTTGCTGACTTCACTGAGTCAAGTTCCGTCTTCATTTCAGCTTCCGGAGTGATCACCCCACAGTGACTTCCCCTCCTCTGGCTCATCTATTGGATTAGATAGATTCAGTTAACAAATTTAAAGTTAAAATTGACTTTTAGTTCAAAACGTCCTTTTTGGCTCTTTAGTTCTTCAATTTCTCTGTCTCTGTCTCTCTCTCTCTCTCTCTCTGTGTGTGTGTGTGTGTGTGTATAGGCCCACAAGTGCCACAGTGTAAAGGTCATGTATGTGGAGGTCAGAGGACAAACTCACCATCGGTCCTTGCCTTCTATGTTGTTTGAGACAGGAATCTCTTTGTTATCCTTCCGCAGTCCACACCAGACTGGCTGTCCTTGTACATCTAGGAATTCTCCTGACTCAGCCTCCTGTCTCCGCAGCCCTTTTTGCTTTCTTGAAATAGGGTTTTGTTATGTCGCTCAGGCTGTGCTGCTCTTCCGGTTTGCTTTCTATTTCTGTGGCAAACACCACAGTCAAAAGCAACTTAGGGGGGTACACTGGTCACAGATCTCTAAAGGAACAAAACTGACAGCGTGTGGGGACTTATTAGAATGACAGGCCATGGAACAACTAACCCAACAAGTGTTGCCCACCAATGTAAAGTCCAAGAATCCAGTAGTTGTTCAGTCCCTGAGGCTGGATATCTCAGGTGGTCTTCAGTAACTAGGGAATCCCAAAGAAGTAGGCTCTAATGCCCGTGAAGGAATGAATTGCCCGCAAGAGCAAGGACAGGCAGGCAAAGAGAACAAGCTTCTTGCTTTTATGCCCTTTATATATATAGGCTGCCACCAGATGTAGCCCACATTTAAGGTGGATCTTCCCACTTCAAAAGACCTGGATTTAAGATGAATCTTCCCACTTCAAATGATTTAATTAAGAAAAATCCTTCACAGGTGTACCCAGCTACTTGAGTTTTGGCTCATTCCAGACATAGCCATCAAAGGGAGGAAAGAATTTCCTTGACTTAGAATGTCAGGTCATGGTACATCAGTGAGGGAAGTCGGAGCAGCAACTGCGGCAGGAACGGAAGCAGGAGGCCTGGAGACGTGCTGCTGACTGGAGGGTTCTCTGGTTCCTGCTCAGCTGGCTTTCTTCCACAGCCCAGACCCACCTGCCTGCGAATGGCTGCCTACAGTGGGCTGGGGCTGGGTCTCTGACATCAATCTTTAATCAAGACAGTATCTTACAGACAGAGCCACAGACCAATCTGACCTGGACGTTCCCTTAATTGAGATTTCCTCAAATGATTCCAAACTGGGTCAAATTGACAGTCAAAGTGAACTAGGACCATAGTCCAGACAGGCTCCTAATTCTTGGCAATTCCCCTGCCTCAGTCACCCGAGTGCTAGGATTACAGGCATGAAGCATTATCTATGCAAAGCCTTTCTGTGTTGTTTAAGTTTCTCCACAATGCTCTAATTTCTTGAATGAACTGGCCTGTGTCTCCTCCAACAGCTCATCTTGTCCTGCCTCCTTTCCCCTCTACTCACCTGAAAGCCTGTGTCTAATCTTCTTGACTTCTTATCACAGTATGCCCTAAAGGCTGCTATCCCAACCACGAGAAGGCAGACCTTGCAGGTACAGGGGGTTCTCTCTCTTCGGAAGCCCCTAGACCAATCCTCCAGCCTCAGAGCCAGAAAAGACTCCCTGAGGCGTTCATTCATTCACCTCACACTGGGCCTGCCTTCCCTGTGCTCCCTCAAAGCCCATCCTACCACCGAGCCAGAAGAGAGACTGGAGACAGAGGAGATAAAAGGAGCCACGCTCACTCGGAGGACCCAGGGCGAGATTCCTGCCTAAGCTCCAGGCTAAATCACGGTGTAAATAAGACGTCAGCCAGAGAGAATCCTAAGCTTCCTGGCAGTACACATTGTTCTCTCTTGCAGCTGATCGAAGGATTGAGAAAACTCGAACCACTGAAACCTGGAAGAACCGAGAAAGGAGAGTGGTCAGACACACTGTAAAGAAGTGTGGAGACACAGATGGTCTTAACAGCAACTCCAAGATTCAACTGCTTTGGTTAGAAGTCAAGTTGGATCAATACCCAGCTTGTCTTCCCAGAGGCCTGACTCACAAACTCACCATGATTACAAAGCCCTAAGATCCCCTATTCCCAAATAAATGACTCACCACCAAAATTAATATGTATAGTTACTTGAAGCTGGGATTTTAACAAGACGTGTTTTTTTTTTAAAGTTTCCACATTGTTAATTTTAGGGTAATCTTGTATCCAAAAAGTAATCTAATGAGGGGACTGGAGAAATGGCTCGGTGGTTAAGAACACTGACTACACAGCAGAGGATCTGGTTCAGGTCCCAGCACCCACATGGCTACATAAAATCATCCATTACTCCAGTTCCAGGGGAATCCAGTGCCCTCTTCTGACTCTCATGGACACTGCATTCACATGGTACACATACATACATGCAAGCAAAACACTCATACACATAAAATAAAAATAAGTAAATCCTTTTATAAGCAATGCAATGAAAATTCTAAACCATCAATGTTTTCACCAAGTATGGCATTATTTATGGGGATTATTAAAAGGTTTAATGATGTCCAACTGACCCTGGCACATTGCTTCACTATTTTGCAAAAATAAATAAACGGATGAATGAAAACTATGCCAAATACAGCAGCAGTCAAAGCGGCCAACTTCCCCAGTAAAGGATAGCGGACGGCACCTAGCCACAGAATGCCAGCCCAGAGTCCCGGCCTTTGTCATAGCCAGCAAATCAACAGCCTTGTTTCTCAACCCAAGACGCAACAAGGATACACTTCAATGTTCCTGTGTGGCAAATAAGTCAGTAGGTCTATATTCACATCTCTGAACTCAAAGATCTCCTTGCAGACTTTACCTTCGAAGTGCCTGAAATGCGGCCTCATCCCACCCCTCCTCTCCTCATCCCTGCATCTACCGCCTTAGATGGAGCCGCCATCTTTATGTATCTCACCTCAGCCCGCACTGGCCTTCTAAGTACTCTGTTTGCTCATTCTCGCTGTCACCTTCCAGTGCCTCGATGAAAAAGCACAGCAGCTTCCTGCAAAGACAAGACCCAGAGACATGGCTCACCAGAGGCTGCATGTCCTGCCCACCCTGGAGCCCAGTCTTCACAGCCGACCCCAATAGGCTTCAGAAGCTCCAGTCTGTTTGTTTTGTTGGTTTGTGGAGTGTGGAGGCCCAAAGAAGCCAAAGGTCAGAGAGTTTGGGACTTGTTTCTAGTTCATTCAAGGTTATTGTACTTCCACCTCAAAGATTCCACCTAGTAGTAAACAAGAGAGTTCTGCTCTCTCAAGGCTATTGTCAACAGGTGTGGCTAGTTGCCAGACCTTGTGCTCCTGAAATAGGGAAGTAGTTGGTTCCTACCTAAAACAAAAGTCTAAGGATCCAACTAAGTTCTGGTTCCCTATATGGAAATAACTTGGGATTGTACCCAGGGAAAGGTTTGTCTACAGAATGTTTGGTCTAGGGTGTGAGTCTTGGGCAGGTTGCAGCCCACCATACTCCTACGACAGACCAGACGGCACATCTCCTGTCCAGGAAGCAGTGACTGTCGTTACTAGGCTGATGTCCATGAGCCACGAGAGAATATGCTCATTCCACGTGCAGATAGGGAAAGGGAGATGATAATAATGTCTGTACAAACACAAGAGACACCAGGAAAGAGAAGTAATACACCAAGCACCTAAGGGAAAGCAGGGATGTTAAGGAACCCCTGAAAGCCTCCGCAAACTTTCTGGCAACTTCAGCACCCCCACCCAAAGAAACTATATTGAAGTAAATTCTGGAATTTTAAAATAACAGAAAAGAACGTAAACTTGTTCGATATAAGAGGTGTTTTTTTCCCTATGGATTTCTTAAGTCCCTCTAGAATAGAGTCCGTGAGTGCCCGAGGAAAATGCAATTACTTCATCCTATTCGTTTAGACTTGCTCAGTGTTCACCCAGGAGAGAGACTCAGTCAACCCAAGCGGAAGTAGCCATCAGATTTCCTGATCTCTAAGCAACTCAAAGAAAAACAGCCCTGAATCTCTGACTTATACTATGGGGGACATGGCTGCAGTTGGAAAGAGCTGGCATGGGTATGTACATTAAATACATCTGAAGAGGTTACCCAAAAGCCTGGGGAACTGCTATCACTCAACAACCTGTGACTCCTCCATAACAGAGAACGCACATCTGACGTCCCTCTGCCATAAGAACAACCATCTCTCCATCTCCCACCAATCTATAAACAGGCACCCTCCAAGCCTAGGCTCCCCGGCCACAGGAGTTAGCACTGCTCTGAACCAGCTGTGTGTCCTTACATTCCTTAACCTTTCTGGTCCTAAATCCCATCACATATAAAGTGAGGATAATAATGGCAGCCGTTTTCACAAGACTATTGGGAGTGAATAACTAATATATGAAGCACCTAGGATAATGCCTGGTGCTTTAGGAGGCTGTGTGACTAGTATTGCTGGTTCTAGATGATAAATTAAGCCAATAAGTGAAATATATGTCCACTGTGCAAGGGTTGAGGTAGAAAGTTAAATAACATTTATCTTTTTCACTGGCGGTTTGCAGTCGGTTAAGCAGGATATCCATATTTCAATGTTGAAAGTTTGCACTCCACAGCTTAAACTACTTTTTTCCATATTTTTAATGTGTTTGTATGTGTGAGAGACAGACAGACAGATGACAGACAGACAGAGAGGTGGTATATAAGTGTACAGTTGTGCACATGTGTTGCCCAGTTTCTCTTTTCTACTTCCTAAGTAACCTCTGCCAGGTTGTGAGCCTAGAAGGGGGCTGCTTTCTTAACAAGGATAGCATGGTGGTTCATGAGTGATGAGCTCAGAGTGTCCTCACACACTGGCATCTCTCGGCAGCTTTCCTGTAAGTGGATGGCTTCTGGGAAGCCCCAAGTTGACAGAAGCAGTTTGAGCAATTGTCTGATCAAGGTGTCAGGCCACTCTGCGAGGAGAGAGGTCTGCGTGGAGGCTGGTCACGGAAATAGGTGGGTGTGAGGTAGATCTTTGGGGATGCTCTGAAATCTTGTCTGGATACACCCACACTTCATCAGGGTGTGGGTGCCCATCAGTTCTGTGGATGAGCTAAGGTCACACAAACTCTAAAAGGAAGCCCTAGGGGAATGGAGGCTTCTCTCTCCCACTGCTTGTTGACTGATAAGGCAGTCTTGTTTTGCGTCCTGGCACAGGGGTCTGTGAGTGTTTACAAAGAGAATAGAAACCTTACCTCCAAGTCTAAGCTTCTGTTTTTAAACACCTCAGGTGGTCCAGGGGGGAAGGCTCCTGCATGGCTGTCTTTTCCACTCACTAGCAGAGGAGCACAAGGAAGAATATAACGCTCGCTCGAAGTAGACGCAGAGTTCAATCACAGCCGTTTTATTATTAATTCTTTAAGTTGTCATACAAGACAAAGGATTTCATTATGACACTTTCTACATAGATATCGTTATACATACACATGGCCCTCTCCCACCCTTCCACTGCCCCTCCCTCCCTCCACAGAGCCCTCCCCTTGCTTCCTATCACAAGTGTTCACTACCCTCTCTCCTTACCTTAGGATCTCTTAAGTCCCCTTCTACTTCATGTCCTGCACACACTCACACTGCTACACACACGCATACACATGTACACACACATGCACATGCACACACAAACATACACACCCTTTAGAGTTTTAAGATAATAATTATTAGCATGTGTGAGTGTGTGTGTGTGTGTGTGTGTGTGTGTATGAGAGAGAGAGAGAGAGAGAGAGAGAGAGAGAGAGAGAGAGAGAGAGAGAGAGAGAGAGAGAACTCATGGCTTGGGGGGAGGGTACCAGGGTGCACATGTGGAGGTCAGAAGACAACTTAGAGAAGCTGACTGCCTCCTCCTTCCACCCTGTGGGTTGGGCATCAGAATGCAGGTTGTCAGTTTTGATGGCACGTGGCTCTATCTGCTGAGCCATCTTAATGGCCCCTAAATCTTAATTTTAAAAGGACCATCTGGAAAATTCTCCAAAACCACAGCAAATGGCCCTTGCGTGTTTCCTCTGCCTCTGGGAGGAAGGAAAAAGGAGCCTTCTTTAAAGAGACAAATCCCTGCTTCACAGCATTAGGAGGCCCTCCTGTGGCTGGAGCCACGGTGAGCTCTACAGGGAAGACCAGCAAGGAAGGGGCAGCTCTTGAAGGACTCCCTCTGCCGGACCAGCTCACTTTCAATTCTAAGTCATGACTGCTCCCAGATGTCCCTTAGCCTATGGCTGACGACTTAAAGCAAGTGTCTGGGTCTGGAGAAGTCACATGCTTATGTCACAGAAAGAATAAAGTTTAGTCATCTGGGGTTATGGTTCCCCACTGACTGATTAAAATCAAAGTGCAAACCACGGGCCAGTGAAGTGGCGCCATGGACTGACAACCTGAGTTTGATGCCCAGAACCCACATTCAAGCTGACAGGGAAAACTGACTCTGCAAAAACTTGGCCTCTGACCTCCACAAATGCACTGTGACCTGTGACACGCATGCACTCATGTGTGTCATAAATGCACAAATAATAATATGTTATAGGTAAGATTTATTATTAAACATATAATAACGAAATTTTATAAAGAATTTTCACATGAGGGTGGTGGTAAACAGAATGTACTACATGCATGCATGAAATTCTCAAAGAAAAAATTTAGTCAATAAAAAAATTAATAAGGTCCAGATGCCTGCAGAGCCAGCCACAGTGTCCCGCTAAGCAGCACCTGGAGGACTGTGCAGGTCACGGGAGGGGCATCCCACGAGGGCCTGGTCTCCCAAGGCATCTCCAGATCCTGTCACTTTGTCTAGCCCTGAGAAATCAAAATCTTAGGGGCTGAGAGATCTTGGGAACAAGGGTTGTTGAGCTAGTAACACCTGCAATGGGGACCAATCCTGGCCCAGTTTCCAAAGCCATAACGGCGCTGATAGAGCAGAGAAACCACAGAACTCTACATGAAGTTCCAAGGAGATAGAAGTCTGTGGTTTACACTGAATATCCATTAGCTGCAGATCAGAGGGGTGGGACACTGTGGTCAGGAAGTCTTAGCCTTAAAGAGGTGTGTCAGGAGCAGCATGTGACACTTGGTGGTTGCTTTTGCGGCACTGAGCGATGGCTGACCTCCTCAGTTAAGAAAGTCGGAGATGCAACCCTGGGAAAAGAACAGAGCTGGCTTTTTGCTTTTGGATTTATTTCCCCTGTTCCCCTTGTCCATCTCTCATTTGTTTACCCTAGTGCTGTAAGCTAAATAATGCCTCTCAACTCTTCCCTTCTCCAACCTTAGTCTGTTGTTAGACTTAGGCCGTCTTGGAATTCTCGTCAACACCTGTGCATTGACCTCAGATGAGGCAGGATAATGGGGCTTCTGACCAAGCTCTTTGGGGCCACAGGAGCCGTAAGTGAAAATGCCTCACACTGATGAGTCAGGTTCAGAGAGAAATACAGTGTAACACCAATGCTGAAGACCAGAGTCAAGAGCAAAGGGGTGCAAATGAGATCAGGGATGGTTAGGGTCGCTTAGGCCTTGTTGGACCTTGTGAGAGAGTTTGGATGTTTTTCTCCATCCAGAGACAGAAGGGGAGGGTGCAGTCTGAGTGATGCTTTACAGCCCTCTGTGCTAGTGCGGGGAAAGAAAGCAGTGTAGAACCTTGCAGTTTGCCTAGCAGAACTGTCAACACAGAGTCAGAAACTCGACGGGTTGGCAAAACAGAAAGTTATTCCCACAGTCCCGGAAGTCCAGGATCACCTGTGAGTTTATGGGCAGCACTAATTAGACTCGATGGATACGTAGTGGAATAGGTAGAGATAGAGAGACAGACAGACAGACGAGAGGTGAAGTGAAGAGAGAGCAGGGGGAGAGAATCTGAGAGGGATTACAGGGAGGCGTTGGGAAGTGAATGGGACCAAAATCCATTGTGTGTATGAAATTCTTAGAGTTAATAAAAATATTATATTTTTTGATAAAGAATCCGAGGGCATTGGGAGGCATACTGCCTCCAGCACCCCTAGGAGAGGAATCCTTTCTTGCCTCCCCCCAATTTCAGGTAATCCCAGGTACTCGCTGCTTGTGGCGATCACTTCAAACCCATCCCTTTCCCTGTCCTATGGCGGTACTCCCTGAGTGTCCCCATGTCTTGTCTACTCCTGTTATAAACCTGGTCAGACTGAAACAGAGGCCAGCCTGGTCACCTCACCTCACA